CCAGCTACTTGAGAGGCGGAGGCAGGAGACTCACTTGAGCCCAGGAGGTTGCTGTGAGCGTGATGCCATGGCACTCTACCCAGGGGGATAGCTTGAGGCTCTGTCTCAAAAAAAAAAAAAAAAAGTCTGATTTAGACACACATTTTGTAAGTCTGCACAGATTAAAACAGGTAACAGAATTAAACGGGAGCATGCTTGTGTGAGAGCAGGGTCTTTCCCCACTCAGGGTGCACTTTCCATGTACCTGTTTTAGTGTGATAGCATCTTCCTACTTGAATACATACATACGTGCATGAATAATTAGTGTAAAGACATGCAGGAAAAACCAACTCTTAATGTGGTCTACTTCTGTGACCAGACATATAGGGGTTTTTCTCCACATACCAAACATTTGCCAAGTGGATGCCAACTGGGTATCTTCTAATTCATTTCAGTTCTGGTGCTATCCACCTGGAGATGGCTGATCGCAAAAAACTGGGTTTCCTGCAGCCCCCTACTTGGCTGGGTAGTTTACTAGGACAGCTCACAGAACTCAGGGAAACACTTACCTACATTTGCCAGTGTATTATAAAGGATGTCTTGAGGAACAGGTGAATGACAAGGTGATGAGATGCTTAGGGTCAGTGCCTGGAAAGGGGCCTAGTATCCTCTGGGTGAGTCGCCCTTCTGGCCCCTCCCTATGTTCAGCTCCTGCACACGGGCTGGGCCTTCTTATTAAGAAAATCACAGAGCTTAATCTCGAGTTCCCTCAGCTCTTGGAGGTTGGTGGGTAGGGCTGGAAGTTCCCACCCTCTCGCCCTTCCTGAGGCTGTCTAGGTAGGGGGTTGGGTAGGGGGTCTCACCTGAGTCACTCCCAGAGCACACACTCTGCTTGATCACATAGGCTGCTTAGGAATAGCAAGAGACCCTCCTTTCTTTCAGGAAATTGGAGGAAATCCTAAAAGTGCTCTGTAAACAAGGACAAAGACGAGATATGTTTCTTACTACACTGAAGTAAATTCTAGTCAGAAATGCCTCATTGCTTTTGAGGAAAAAATGATAATTTGACTTTTTCATTTTAACTAAAATATGTTATAACTGATTGTTTTACCAAGGGGCTCTCTCTGAGGAAGGCCTGCTGGTGTATTTACGGGTGCTCCAGACCTTTCTTCCTCAGTTACCAGTCTCACCTGCCAGCGCCAGCTGTCAAGACTCAGCCAGTGACTCTGAGGAGGAGAGTGAAGAGGCCAAGAAGCCCTCAAGCCCTGTAAGCCCCGCCCCCCATGCCCAGGGCCGCTGCACTGGGCTGGGAAGGCTGCTCTGGCTTTCTGTCCACTCTTACTTGTAATTGCATGCATAAGACCTCTGAGCATTTAGCCTTTACAGATGAGGCCCTGGCCTCCAGCACCTAGCAATTGTGGGTACCTTGTTTTACACATCTCTCTGTCCACCTATGTAAGTACATGTGGAGATATGGAATTTTGTTTTCTTTTTTTTATGGAAAACTGAGTCACAGTGTACATTATTTTTCTGGAAATATTTTCTAGAAGTGAAATTATTGGGTCAAAAGATTAAGTTCCTTCTCGCCCTGTCCTATGAACACTGACATTAGTAATGTCTTTAATTAGTTTCATTAATTTTATAGAGGGTAAATGTTTTGGATTTTTTGTTGTTGTCATTTTGAGACCTCAAACTCTTGAGCTTAGGTGATTGTCTTGCCTCAGCCTCCCAAGTAGCTGTGACTATAGGTGCCCATCACAATGTCCAGCTATTTATAGAGATGGGGTCTTGCTCTGGCTCAGGCTGGTGATTTTTTTTTTCTTAGTTGTTTTTAAGTATACTGTTACTTCATTTTTTTTTTTTTTTTTTTGAAATCAAGTCTTGGTCTGTTGTTGGGCTAGAGTACAGTGGAATGATCATAACTCACAGCAACCTCAAACTCTTGGATTCAAGTGATTATTCTGCCTCAGCCTCCAGAGTAGCTGGGACTACAGGTGCATACTACCACGTTTGGCTAATTCATGGGGTTTTTTGCAGAGACAGGTACCCTTCTTGCTCAGGCTGGTCTCAAACTCCTGGCCTTAATCCATCCTCTGCCTTAGCCTCCCAAAGTCCTAGGATCAGCCATCACACTTGGCTCTACAGAAACCAAATTTTTTAATACTTGATTACATTCCAGAGAAGCTACGAAATTTAAAAAATTATCTATATGCAATATATCTTACATTCATGTGATGAAGAAGCCACGGGTATTTTGTTAGCTAGAGAGATGACAGAGTCTTCCTCACTGCGCTGACGTGGTGGAAATAGACTATGAAGACTCATGAAACAAAAAGAACCCACAGGTTGCCTGTTCTAGTTACACTTTTTTTTGTTTGTTTGTTTTTGTTTTGTTTTGTTTTTCTTTTTTCTTTTTATTGATAGTAACTGTGTACATTAATGCACTGCTGGGGTACAGTGTGGTGTTTTCACAAATAATCTGAAACACTTCCATCAAACTGGTTAACATAGCCTTCATGTAATTTTCTTAGTTATTATGTTAAAACGTTCATATTTTACTCATAGAAAGATTCACTTGTACCTTTGTAAGATGAACCACAGAAGTGAACCCTCGAATCCCCCTCCCTCCACCCATAGTTACACTTTTAATGTTTAAAAAAATCAGTGGGTGGCACCTATGACTCAGTGGGTAGGGTGCCAGCCCCATATACTGAGGGTGGTGAATTCCAAACTAGACCTGGCCAAACTGCAATGACAACAAAAAAAGGTGGGCGTTGTGGTGGGCACCTGTCGTCCCAGCTACTTGGGAGGCCGAGGCAAGAGAATCACCTAAGCCTAGGAGTTGGAGGTTGCTGTGAGCTATGACGCCATGGCACTTTACGGAGGGCGATAAAGTGAGACTCTGTCTCTAAAAAAAAAAGAAAAAAGGATCAGCTTACTGATTTTTTTGAAAAATTATTATTTACATCTATAGAAAATGTCACTCGATTTTTCTTTTTTAGTGTATAAAGGGTTTGAGGTCCCTGGTATTCTTACTTCTTCCTTGTCCACATTCTTTTTTTTTTTTTTGAGACGGAGCCTCAAGCTATCCCCCTGGGTAGAGTGCCATGGCATCACGCTCACAGCAACCTCCTGGGCTCAAGCGAGTCTCCTGCCTCAGCCTCCCAAGTAGCTGGGACTATAGGCGCCCACCACAACGCCCAGCCATTTTTTGGTTGCAGCCATCATTGTTGTTTGGTGGGCCTGGGCTGGGGATTCGAACCCGCCACCTTAGGTGTATGTGGCTGGCGCCTTAGCCGCTTGAGCCACAGGCGCCGAGCGCCTTGTCCACATTCAAGATGAGAACTAACAACTCCACTGTGAGCCAGATACTCCAAATCATTCTTTATTTCTGAGAGAGGTCTTTTATGTCTGTGTTACATATGCCTTTTCTTTCCTATGAAACTTCATTGTGTAGAACCTAATTGGGTTGTATACAGTTGTCCTTTACATTTCTGTACAGCCCATCTGCCTTCTGCTGTGTGCACCTTATCTCATGACTGCAGGCTGCTCTTGTTCTCACGCACCTCATGTTAGGTGTACCTTAAAGATTCACATTTGACAAATTCAATTTATTACGTTTATCTCTAAAGCAGTGTTTTATTTGGTAGATTAAGTTACATAAATATGTCTACCCACATAATTCAAATAGTGTAGTCAACAATAACCCAATGTCATATATATTCATATTTTCTAAAAGTATATATCTTTGGGGTGGTGCGCATATCTCAGTGGGTAGGACCCTGACCATATACACCGAGGCTGGCCAGTTTGAACCCGGCCTGGATCTACTAAACAACAATGACAACTGCAACAACAAAAACAACAACAAATACCTGGGCATTGTGGCAGGTTCCTGTAGTCCCAGCTACTTGGGAGGCTGAGGCAAGAGAATTGCTTGAGGCCAAGAGTTTGAGGTTGAAAAAAGTATGTGTCTTTGGCTGGGCATGGTGGCTCACACCTGTAATCCTAGTACTCTGGGAGGCCAAGGCTGGTGGATTGCTTGAGCTTACAAGTTTGAGACAAGCCTGAGCAAGAGGGAGACCCACTTGAGAGGCTGAGGCAGAAGGATCTCATGAGCTCAAGAGTCTGAGGTTGCTGTGAGCTATGATGCTGTAGCACTCTACCAGGGTGACAAAGTGAGACTCTTATCTCAAAAAAATAAATAAAAGTATCTGTCTTTGGTTAATGCTCCCAAATGAGTAATCTTGTAGCTTATCTTAGGTTTTATTTTGTGAATATGGCCTTCTGGATAAATAGAGATATAAAATTTTTAATTTATCATGAATGTCATTTGATTTTTTAAAAACTCTTTAATATTCCCTTTTATTTTGCTTAAACTGTGTTCTCTCAAGTAATTTAAAATGGAAATGCCAGCGGTGCTTATAGCTTAGTGGATAGGGCGCCAGCCCCATATACCAAGGGTATAGTGGGTGGGTTCGAACTAAACAGCTAAAACAGCAGTGACAACTGCAACAACAGCAAAAAAAGCTGGGCTTTGTGGCAGCAAAAAAAGCCTCCCTTCTACTCGGGAGGCTGAGCAGGAGAATCATTTAAGCCTAAGAGTTGGAGGTTGCTGTGAGCTACTCTACCAAGGGCAACAAAGTGAGACTCTGCCTCAAAAAATAAATAAATAAATAAAATGGAAATGCTGTTAGATGATAATACAGTTTTCACTGTGTATGAGTATACTTTCAATTCAAAAAAATAAGAAATGGGATGGCACCTGTGGCTCCAAGGAGTAGGGCGCCGGCCCTATGTACCAGAGGTAGCGGGTTCAAACCCGGCCCCAGCCAAAAACTGAAAAAAATAAATAAGAAATGAGTTTTTGTACTTTGTCTGGATGAAAGGGCACATTTACCACTTTGACTCAATCTGTACAACAGCCAAGTTTATAAACATGTCATATTTCTCCTAATATTCTGAAATGAAAAAGAAAAATGCATTTTCTTTGAAATGTAAACATTGAAAATACATTGTCAGGAGGCAGAAAGGTAATGTTGAGTTTCTAGGTGCACCTGATGCCTGCTGCTGCATTACCTCAGCAGGTCCATTAGTAGAGATGCTGATGAGTTCTTCATCATGATGTGGATAGTAGATAATGCATGTCTTATATTTTTACTTACAGAAAAATGTGGGCTTTGTCTATTTATAGAGAAGAGGCAAGTTCACATACAACATTAACGGAGGCTAACTTTTCTGCTGTGTTTTAGGAGGATGGTAGACTATCGATACCATACATCACAGAGGAGTGCCTCAAAAAGTTGGATACCAAGCAGCAGACCAATACGCTGTTGAACCTGGTGTGGAGGGACTCGGCCAGTGAAGACGTGTTCACCGGGATGGCCTCCGTGTGCCACACACTCATGGTGCAGCGCCGCATGATGGTGCCCAGAGTCAGGTGAGTGCGGGTGGTGGGGTGGCAGGGTGGTGGGGGAGTGCACCTGCCTCCCTATCACACCCTAATTAGGTTGACCTTGATACTTCTCATAAGTTAATTTTCAAAAATTTGAAAAAAATTTTGGTTGGGACAAAATAAAACATAAAACTTTAAAATGTGGCTCATTTGGTCTTCGATACACATTCTTTGACAGTAATCTTGAGCTGTTTTCTTTCCCTCCATTTCGAGTAGTACTTTAATGGTTGGTTCAGAATTTAACAGAAGAATATTTACTTAGACACAGTGCGGAGCACTTGTAGTTCTGCCAGGACCACAGGGCTGCTGTGGCCTGGGCGCTGCAGAATTCTCTTTTCTTACCAAATGCCATTCCACAGCAGGAAAAGAGTGATTTCTGTTGGTAAGGAAAGCATTCTTTGAAATGAACTATAAGGAATGCATCATCATTGGCCGAAATTGCCTTGTAAACACTAATGCAGACAGCTAATGAGGTGCTGTCTTAGCTCAGGGAAGTTTATTACCTTTAGAGGAAGCGGGGCATCAGTGACATGGCGATTAGCTCCTCCTATTACCTTTAGAGGAAGCTGTCGCCTAATTGCATTAGGCAGGATGTGAGATCTGAAGATCCAGCAGCTGAACCAGGGCACTTGCTTTTATTGGAGCACAAAGTCCATTTCTGGTTTAAATGTCTTGCTGCCGTGGTCTAAGGTTTAACTAGTGAACTGCTTCCAAAACGTGTTTAGTGGGTCAAGGAGTTTTCTAAGTAGGCTTCATTTTATGAGTACTGCACCTATTTCCTCTAAGAAACTACTCCAGGAACTTTATTTCTGGTTTTACTATATTAGCTTGTAAGTATTTAGAAAGAGCAAGTAATCATACTTTAACCGTTGTAGATTTTATGCTTTGAATTTCAGTTTTTATAAAAAGTATTTAAAAGAGGATGATAGTATGTTCCCAGGCTGATGGCCTACACTTGGCTCCTCGTTGGTTAATATTAGCCCCTCTAATTTTCAGAGTTGAGATTTGCAACTTTAATTTGTTTAATGTTGATTGTTAGGCTATATAAAGGAATATGGAGGCCCATCGAAGATTTCTAGGATAGATGTTTACATGAAAAAAGAAAAACACAGAACGATATTATAATAACCTACTTGAGGTATAAGAAGGCTGGAGAAAAAAGAATGTGTATTTGTATTTGCATGAAGAAACTTCAAAGTATATAGAGAATGACTTAACTTTTTTAAATTAGTTAAGTAATAAATGAGTTGCCAGCTCCTTTTTTGAGGAAATTTTTATGTCTTACTGTTAGATGTGGAAATCTTAGTAAAATTTGGTTCTTAGATATTTTTCTTCTTAAGAAAATATATTATCTTACAAAAATTTAAAACATCTTATTTTAAAATGTAGATAAGTCTGGATGCAGTGGCTCTCACTTTTAATCCTGGCACTTGAGCGACCAGAGTTGTGTGAGCTCAGTAGTTGGACTGCAGTGAGCTGCAGCTTCACCTCTGCTCCCCAGCCTTGTGTTTAGAGCAGACCTCCTCAAACTACAGCCCGCGGGCCACATGCAGCCGGCCTAGGACATTTATCTGGCCCTCCAGGTGTTTTTGCCACCGCTGCCTGTCCTGCTTAGCAGCTGACTCGTCCAGGGCCTGCAGTCCTGCCCTCCAACTGTCTGAGGGACATTGAACTGGCCCCCTGTTTAAAAAGTTTGAGGACCCCTGGTTTAGAGACAGCAATGTCTTGTCTCTAAGAACATGTATATGTGAATATTAACCGACTGTATTATGATATGAGGGGAAAATGAATGCAATCTTCCAACATCCAGAGGGCTGACGTGAGTAAGTAAGAGTAAAAACAGCCCATTGGAAGGGTGTTCCGCTTTAACCCTGGCAGACTGGGATTCTTAGTCGGTGTTTGTAGAATGACTGTGTGGCTCTAGCTTGCGACTGGGCAGTGAGACGAACTGTGGTGCCCTACAGGACCTGAGACCATCTAGCTCTATGCAGGTCTCCTTCCTCATCCTTGTCCTTTCTGGTGCTCCTTCACCTGCGCTTTCACAGACGGTGTGCTCAGGATTTTTCTTTTTCTTTTTTTTTGAGACAGGAGCCTCAAGCTATCCCCCTGGCCATGGCATTTCAGCTCACAGCAACCTCCAACTCCTGGGCTCAAGCGAGTCTCCTGCCTCAGCCTCCCAAGTAGCTGGGACTACAGGCGCCCACCACAACGCCTGGCTATTTTTTGGTTGCAGCCATCATTGTTTTGGCGGGCCCGGGATGGATTCGAACCCGCCACCTAGGGTGTACGTGGCTGGCGCCTTAGCCACTTGAGCCACAGGCGTCGAGCCAGGATTTTTCTTTAATACTTTTACTTCTCCATTCCTTTTATGGGTCCCTCTTTTTCTCTGTCTCATTTAATCTTTCCTAAATTTTGTAGGCTTCATTTTCTGTTCAGCTTTATAATTCCTTCTTTCATTCTCTGGAGTGAGAACTTTCATGCAGGCGGCTTCAGCTATATTCTGGTGGCTCACGTTGGCATCTTCAGCTTAGTAACCTCCTGGAGCTCCAGAGTCATGTTCACCTGCTTACGCGGAGTTGTCCTCAGGCCCCTCATACATCTGAAGTTGAATCCAGCCCCTCTCAGGGTGCCTTTCCTTCCTGTCTCACCATATTCACTTAGGTGTCTGTACCTGCAGCCTAGAGTCACGGTGCCCATAGTGGTATGTTTACTTTAAGTTAAATACAAGTACAAACTCAGGCCCTTTGTCACACACAACTACATATCCTGTGTCCTGCGGCTGCCTTACTGAGCAGCACAGAAGGGAACTTGGCCGCCCTCAGTGAGTCTCTTGGACAGTGCTGGGTTCAGGCCCAAGTTGGTACTTCCTCTACCACGTGTTGGCTGTGTTTGTCATGTTTTGCCCAACTGAATTGTTGAAAATATGACCCAAATCATTTCATCTCTTGCTTAAACATCTCCCAGTGAGCCCCCTTTCTTTCAGGAAGAAATCTGCTTTCCTTAGATCATTGAGTCTTGCCGTGTCCTTGGTTAACTTTCTCCCTTCTCGCCACGGAGTGCTCTTTGCGGCAGCCGTGTTAACCGTGTGTGTTCTCTACACCCAGTGTCCTTCACGCATCTGGTGCTGCACACCTCTCTGCCTTTGTGTGTGCTGCTCTCTGTCTGGACGGCTTCCCCTCTCCTCACCTTGTACTCCATGTGGATGGGCTGGAATGTTCCTCCAGGGCTTGGCTCTTTTGCTCCATTGACAGATTAAAGATTTGAAATGGATTTTAAAGGGAGTGTTTTAGCAAGCACAGAGGTTGATACTATAATTTTCCTATAAATACATCAAATCCTAAAGCACCACCAGCTGTGTGCAATGCTGCATACACGTAGTCATGAGGATGCTCAGACTTATATCTCACACTTTAATAATTTAGGATAAAATGACTACGAAAATGACTTTACTGGAGAAAAACACAGGCTTGTGTTTTTAATATTTTAGAAAAAACATTGAGGATATAACTGGAGGGAGAAATACTAATATATACATCTTTCTTTGCCTAGAATTTCATGATTGCTTTTGTTGTCAATGATTATTTTCTGTTTAATCAACAGATTTAATCAGCTATTGATTGCTATTAAAATTTGCAGTCTGTTTCTTTTTTATTTCTTTTGAGATAGAGCCTCAAGCTGTCCCCCTGGGTAGAGTGCCATGGCATCACAGCTCACAGCAACCTCCAACTCCTGGGCTCAAGC